CCTATAGAAGGTGTGCATTGGTTGTCTATCCCAGGGTGGGAGAATACCTTGCTCCTTGCACACCTGTTCAATTGCAGCCCGACCATTCTTCCTCCCAAGTATATTGCACACGTTTGACACTGTGATAATTTGTAACCCCTGTGATTTGAACTCCACGCAGCAATCCGTAGGTGGATCCTTCTTGCCCGTAGCAGTATTCTTATTTTTAATTTTTGACATTGTAACCCAGTGTAGCTGCTTGAAATCAGCTTCATCCTTGCGATAAAACTTACGAGCAGCATTAGACAAGGATTTGTAATTGGGAATTTGCATATAGCGCTCTACTTCAGCCAGTCCGAAATCTGACGCGCTTTCAAGCCTCCGTACAATGCGGCCGTCTGTTGTAGTGGTTTCAACACAAACTTGAGGTCCGCCAACCCGTCGCTCCCTCACGCCTACAATGATTCCGTCATCAGTCTGCAGAGTGGGCCATGGATATTGAAACGGCCCATTAGTATTAGAGGGAGAAGAGGGTTTTTCCGGCAAAGTTAGATACAAAATCCAATCCTCAGGCCAGTGATATTTCATGACTGAATCGTATATCAGCTTCGTCTCGGTTTCTACTTTCTCTCTTGCTTCGTCGTTATTCGGGTCTGTCATAAAAATATTGTAATTTGTTACCGCCAGTGAATAATGCTCCTGAAAGAATCTTAAGGGTATTTCCCACTGCGTTTTAGAAACCTTCTTCGCTTTATCATCCTTGTGTAACTCATTGTACTCTTTGGTAGCCTTTATAATCTCTATATTAAGGGCCGCTATGCCGTTATGGGAGTCCTTATCATCAGGATCGGTGGCCAGTTGCTGTACAAATGGTGTTGCCTTTTTGTAAATTTCGTGGACTGACTCGGGAGGCTCAGGGACGCGAACTGACTCGATAGGTACGGGGACGGAGTCCTGATCCATTCTATTCGCCGAATCATTTTCATCATCTTCATCATCTGAGTCTTCTGCCATAAGGTTCTTCTCGCCATCCCAGTGATAGACCGCTGAGGCATAGGGAGACTCAACGCCGAGATTTTCCGCCGCATCGCAAAGCTCTGCCATACTATCAGCTAGAGAACCTATACTACATTTTTATTTTTGGATCTTACTCTTGAGGGCTTTCTCCGCCTCTTCCTTTCGCGCTTTTGTACTGCCGTATCCACTGTGTTCATGATGGATCTTGCAACCAAGCGTCCTCAAAGCATGTAGGCGATCCTCAGGGGTTGAATTCTGATCAACCCCAAGGGTACTAAGATCGGAATCACTTTGCAAGATGCGTTGGATTTCATGTTCTATTCCCGCTGCTTTCCGGGCCTGTTCCGCAGCATTTCTAGCGTCGTCAGGAGCAGGGGTTGTGTCCGGCGTAAGTATTCCTGCCGCTTGGGTAGGCGTTTCCTTACTTTTAGAGGGGTCTACAGTTTGGCCGGATTCAGTTGCAGCGCTAGCCATGGTGACTTGATAGTTTCTGGGGATTAAAAAGCATCAACGACGACCATTGCCTATAAATACCTATTGCAGGTCACAGGGAGTGTGCTCGGAATTAAGCCGGAACCGGACTTGAAGCACCGACGACTACAAAAAACATGCAATATCAGCCGCGAAGTGATGAACGGGGTCACAGTAACCACTACTTCCGCCTAAATCTCACCAAGCACATGTATATTACACTCGTACAGTGAGTACTATACATGTACTGTACACATATTGAATGCCTAGGGAAAAATGACAATATGTGTTAAGCCAGAAACAGCTCTGTAGAGGTTACTTGCAGCAGATCTCTTGCTGCTGAAGGTACTGCTACAGCGGGGTCCAGGTTCAGCATCCTTTAACGGATGCTTAAAACTGTTTACAATTTGGCAAGTTCTTGCTTCTAGCGCCAAAATAATGTCCTTCTTTCATTGGTCCGGTGCGTTTCTATTATAAATTCTTGGCGAAAGGGATAATTTAAATAAAACCCATGCCGCACTGTACCCGGACGGATTGCCCAAGCCTCCTTTAGGAAGTTTTGTTGCGCACCGTGTAGACGCTGAATCTGGGCTATAGAGTATCAAAGAAAGTGACCGTGTTAGTACAGTGTTAATACTACTAGAGAGATCGAGGGCGTTAAACGTCAAAACAATACGAAGACCGCGAGGACAAAAATGGCTATCTACGTACTACCAGCGCAACGAACTTCCACCACGGCCAGAACCTATTTCATCATTTTCTGGCTTTTTGCGTTGGTGAAGGTGCATCAAATTTAATGCATTGAACGTGGGGATGGACGATGATTGGCAGGCATTGTTTGTGTTTGTCGGGAGAGTAAAGAACTGTTTTTATGTTCGACATGTTGGTAATCTCGAGGCGTCCCATTGAGACGACGGATGAAAGATGGAAGAGGTGCCACAAGGCGAGCTCCAGAATGAGCTGGAGGTGAACAGCAGTCTAGTCAGGAATTTTTGGCGGACACCAATCCGCAACAGCGTCGTTGCGTCAGCAGACGGAGGTGAAAGTCTCATCTAATAGCAAAGGACCGTAACGCTGGCAGCTTCCTGGGGTTTGATTAGCTGGAAATAGGTTTAATTCGACAAAGAGGAAGGTTCAATAACTTCCCACATCAACACAATCCAGATTTCTTCGAAAAGGGTTTTCTTAGCCAACCGTAGATAACCGGAGTCATCTTGTCACATTATGAGACTCATGTTAACTAAGCTTCTTCCATAAGATAATCATTCTTGTTTTTTCTCCGTGCTACAGACGGAGTCTGCAGCTATCTTTTAAGTACCAAGAAACTTCCTTTCGTCCGAATCTAGCTTTCGGCTAAGTCTTGCCATGATGGCCCACGCTATGACAACCAGCTATTACACCAAGCTCTGCGACTTCAATCTACAGTGGCATTATCCGACAATGATACAGATGTGTTTATGGGGAGCATCCTTTTAAACTGTGGTGTTAGCCAAATCAAATTGAAACCAGTGCATTCACATCACCTTCAGCCCCGTTCATAGAGGTTCAGGATATGAGTAGTTAGCACAAACTAAGCCGACTTATTAAATATAAATTTTAGACTGAGATTAATTTTCTGATTCTCACCTGCTAGGATTCATTATTACGCTACACAATAACAGTCAGTCTTTTCTTACATCTACACCACAGCTTTACCACACGTTCACTATTCAGTCATCAAAAAGCTTGAGCAAATATTGAGTAACATTTTGAATTTAGGTCTAATTACGCAGATATCTAGGTATGATGAAGTATGCAACACATCCAATGAGTATACTCTGAGCGAAAAATCCAAGTAAGTACCAAATCAGCCGAAATGCCATGGATACAAGACTAAGCCGACAGATCCATAAGCCAAACGCCAAAACCGTCATCTTACCAGGGCTTGGAAGGCGATGTAGTGGTTTCAAATCCCTCATTACTCGCAATGCATTCTCGTACAGAGCGGTGTATCCATGAACAGCATTGTTGGATTGCATCGAAGCTGGTCCTGACTGGTACGCCCTATATACAGCCACGCACCATAGGAGTATTTTGGAAGCTCCGCTTGGCCATCCGGTCTCGTCAATAGTACTGAATGTCACATCGCCATGTATGGTTTGATGGCTCTCTTCCGTCTGGATGGGATTGGAATCACGTCTACAATGGCGAGAGACTGATCCCATGCTGCGGTTGTGTTTGGCAGGCCCAGAAGCGGTGGGAGCGCGGGATAAAATAAATACCCTTTGCCTAGATCCACAATTGGACGCTTGAAATTATCCATAAACTACCACTATAAGTCCACAATTGGACGCTTGAAATTATCCATAAACTACCACTATAAGACACAATTGAACATAGTGTCTCGATGTAAGGGACAAGTAAATGCCAGCTTCTGCCACTTTGTATTTTACCAAACATGCTGCTCTCCGTTAAGCCTGCAAACATCTGCACCGGGAAGTCGTTCCAGGATCTGTCTTTCTTCCACTAAGATACCACAACATGTTTACGCCATCACCAACTAATTTGGGTCGGCAGAGGCTTCAGAAACAGTGTAGAGAAGCTCTTGCGGCTCACATCGGTATTTGTCTAATATAACACCAATTATTGATGCTCTTGTTTACAGCTACTGATGTTTGCGTCAGAATCACGCACTGG